GGCACTGGCAAACCACTTCCGAAACACCTTGCCTTGAAAACTGCAGGGACTCGTCCAGGCATTCGCCGCAGAATCAGTAACGATTGAGTGCGGATTTAAAAAAAAAGCTGCTAGATCTGTATGGATAGATAGATATGCAGTGATAGACCTGCAATTAGGTAGTCCTTGTTTAGTGACTGCCTTGTTTAGCAACCATTTGCAGTTACGATGGTGATGGAAAAGTAGCTTTACGGCCAATCTTCACATTTATGTCCTTTGCAGATCTGTAAAGCAAAGGAAAAGCTAAAGTAAGATCATAAGCATGTCACAGTTTCATTTAGTGACCACTTCACTTAACAACTGAGTTGCCAGTCCTAATTGTGGTTGCTAAATGAGGATTACCTGTACATCATTTAACCCATCTTATGTTTCCTAGATCAGTTCACTTCAAAAATGGTGGAAAATCTTAGCCTGTTGCCAGCGCAAAGTAACAATTGAATCATCCCTGTATGTGACATTGTGTATCCTGGCACTAAAATGTTCTCAGCCAGTCTTTTATAAATACAGAAAGGATACATATTTTCCCTTCTGAATGCTTTTATATAAGGACAGGAAAGTAAGTGAGAATCATAGATTTTTGCTTTTAGCTTCCTTGGTTGTGGCGTATTCTCTGTTCCAAGTTTCTGATTAAATGTCTGAACTAATAGTAGAGGATATGCGAGACAAAAATGTCAAAAATTGTTGAGACATTTGATTGCTACAGGGTAGAAGTTTGATCCTGAAATAAATAAATAATAAACACATTAAAATTAAATATTCCTTTAACATCTATCTTAAGCACTACTCTCTTGAAACATTAGGAATGTTGAACAAATAATTGTAATAAGGCTATAAAGTATGTTAATTGTGTAAAGTGAAAAAACATGAATAGTCAGAGATAGCGCCAGTTGGCTCGCAGTTAATATTTACCTACAAGAGATGTGATCTGAATAACAGTATGTATTTTTCCTTTATAACTTCCCTTTGTATTATCAACTCACAGAAAGCGGCTAAGAACTTCTTCCTGAGTCTGCAATAGAACGATTTCAGGGGATCCATTTTCCTTCCATTTGAAAATCCTTCTTACTGGATTAAGAAAAGATGGCAGGTGTGAGCTCATGTATGAAATACTCCATGTTCATCTTCAACTTTTTATTTTGGGTAAGTCTGAGTTTTCAAAATGAATATTGCTTGAACCAAAATAAACAATGAAATACTGTTTAGCTTTAAAATGTGATATTTTATGAGTCTGGAGTCACCTGTTCCAATAGCAGTTCTGGACAACAGTGAAGATAAATACTTGCTTATTTGCAGTACTGGAAAAAAGAAGCAAGGCCTAAGTACGGAAATAGAGTCTTCTCTGGGACAAATGGAGAAAAGCCTTTAATATAAATACTTGCTTTTCTGGACAAGAGCACCATGCATTTTACAAGTGTGTAAATGTTGGAAATTGACTGCCTTTTGGAATAATTTAACAACTGTTCTGTTGCAAAATACATCTGCCAATTTATTTATTGAATTTAAAAACTTTGTGTCCTAGTGTAGTCATGACCTGTTTCAAACTGGGAGTGTGAGCACATGCTGAATTTCAAGAGATTACTGGGGTAGTTACACATTGCTTACTTTCCAACCATTCCTGAACCATCCTCTTTCTGTCAGATATTATTATGGTCTCCCATACTCCAGTCTCAGGGCCCCCTCCAAAAGCAGGCTGACAACCCTGCACTGTATCCCACTTTGCCCACTTTGTAGCCTTTAAATGAAGATGAATTACAAGGTGAAAAAATGTAGGTTATCTGATATGAATAATTAATTATATTGAAACACTTGGCAGAGAATTTGTGTTTGCGATAAAGAGATACTATTGCAGAACCTCTGTCTGCAATAACCTCTTTTCAGTGTAGAAATCTGTTATTTTTTTTAATTTTGTAAGAATAAAACTTTCTAACTTCAAGGTCTTCCTGAGTAATGAATTTGAAAGGACAGTAAAATGCCTGGATGCGTGTGTTTGCTATAAACCCAGATCAATCTGGATACTTTAACCTAAGTTCTTAAGTTTCATTTGCAGTAGCTATTTCGATTTTCCAGTAAGAATAAATTGGCCATTGTTCTCTGTCCAATCTGGCTCTCATTGATGCACCTCTGTAATTCACCACTTTCCAAACATATTTTGGTCTTATTCATATGTATTGTTTCAGGCATGTATTTTCAGATAAATTTGTGTGGTGTGAAGTGACCTGTATGGTCACTACTTGATTTTTAAGTCAAGGTTTTTCTCTTATTTATCAAGAGATTTTGTGTTAGAAAATTCAAAAGTGGGTGCCTCACCCTATGCCTGCAATGTTCCCTCCTAGTAACAGTGAACAACAATAATAATATCACTGTTTAACACCCCATAATTTTCTTTCTCACTCTTTCTCTCTCACACACACACACAAACAGGGTAAACATTTTAGCCCTACAAGTCTGCGGTCCTCTGAGGTCCTAGAAGTAGTGTTAATACTAGGAATGACCTATGGTCATGGCCTGCCACCCATGCTGTAAGACAATAGGAGAGACGGGTTCTCTGCATATGCTTTTTAGGATATGAGATGAGATGAAAGAAAGTTGTTGGTATCTTGAAGGAGGAATGAAGGACTCTGGGTAGCATATTTTGAGCGTTCTATTAATGTGGTTATGTGAGGAGGAGAGGAAAATTTTTTTTTAAAGGAATGGTGTTTTTTTTTAGAGCTGAGGCCTCATATTTACCTAGCATTCAATTTCTTGGATAAGTTGTTGGCTTGACAAACTGACATTTTAGGATTGCTCACTTTCACTGCAACAAACATTTTGTGATTGGCTATTTCCTTATGGCAGCCATGACACTTCCTCAAAATTTGAAATATCCCACTGATACTCAGGGATCATATTCCATTCACAGATTATTAGCAAAATGTCTATCAATCCATCTTTGGCTACATGGAGGAAATTACTGTCACCCACCCAACTTTACTTGACCAAGTTCCAAGAAAACCTGGAATCAATTGTGATCTACTCAGTAGCATTAATTCTCAGAGAAATTAGTCCTTACCTTATCCTCCTAAACCCTTGTGACATTTGCCATACAAAAAGAAACACCACCATTCTGTATAGTTGCTGGACAGGTTCCTAGTATTTCAAATAAAGACAGTCACTGCTTTCCTTCCATGGGATAAGGAAACAATCATAGTGTACTTAATTATAATGGAATATGATAGATGGTATCAATTTATCATTCACGTAATCAAAGTATTGAGGATGTCTGGTTGACCTGAATGTTGATTAATCTAGCTAACTCATAGAAATCTATCCTTGACCTCCCTGTACATTGTGCCATGGAAAAAATAATGTCTTTAGCCATTTTAATCTCAGAGTACAAGAAATTGAATACTGTACATTGATTAGTATGAATAGAATAAAGGTGATACATTTTTTTAACGGAGCTTTAAAGCAGAGATGAGCAAAATGGTTTTCTTTGGAGTGCAGTTGGGGCCCACTGCCAGCAGAAAGAGGAACTGAAGCAGGTGGTAGACACTGTCCAAGTAAGTTTGTGCAGCAGGTGTGCATTGAGAGGCAAAGGTTGCCTGCCCATACTATAAGCTATATGTTGGGGATGGCCTTCCTTTCTGCAGCCAGGAGCTGTACTATGTTTGTTTGTTTGTGTTTGTTTTCCTTTCAGTTTTCTTAGAGCTGGGGAATGGCTCAGGTCATCACCAAAAGGGGGAAACTCTGGCCCTTTCTCCAAAGTTTAAAAATATACTTTTTTAAAAAAAATCCAACACAATATGAAGATAAAAACGAAACTAAAAACAAAAAGATTAACAGGGGTGTCCACAAGGCATGATAAAAAGAGATGGCGGCATGATCGTTTTATGTGTATCCCATGTGTCCTAGCAATTTTCTCAAAAACAAAATTATATTCTAAGTGAGAAATGGGCATTTTATCCAAGACAGAACTGGGGAAATAAGCTTTCCTTGGTTCATAGGATCAGTTTGTATATGGTATTTGTGACTGTTAATATATATGAAGATAGGATAAATAAAGATGCAAATAATTTTTCAGGCATCTGCATCAAGTAGTAGCTTAATTTTGTTTTTCAGGATATTGATTTTTTTCTTTTTTTTCTTTTTGCCCCTTATCTAGATATGTGGATCTATTATTCTGGCAGTCTCTATATGGATGCGTGTCAGCAAAGATGCTCAGAACGTAAGTGTGCTTTTGCCTTATTACTGTAGTAGCAATAATAGTAGCAATAATCATTGTTGGTGTCAACATATATTACAGTCTGCACCCTTCCTGGCAAGTCACAGAAAAATAAAGTGGATAACAATGAAATAAATTCTATAGTAGTCTTCTTGGGCCTGTAAGCATGTGATTAGGGAAATCAGTCCCCCACCCCACCCCGCCCATGCCCCTTTGGAAGATGAGGTCAATTTCACAAGTAATAAATGGAATTACTTCATTTAAAAGGGAAACAATAATGTAAAATTTCCTTTTGTTGTTTTAAGTAGTCATATTTAAAATATGCAGTGGCAAGAAGGGAAAAATATAGAGCTTCTCAAGATACAGAAGGCAATTTTTAAAAGCCCCTAAAGGGAAAATTATGAAAATTAAAAATTAACACTCTGAACAGACCAAAAGATGTTACTGGTCTATTACTGAAGTCACACATTCACTGAGTTTACATAGGGAAAAATAAACAATAAACAATAAAGAGTTCAGTATCACACACACCAAAGTAAATCAAAAGTCTAAACGCTCATTCCTGGCTAAATATTCACCTTTATCTTAGGGACAATGGATTGTTCCAGCAAGTGATTGTTGCATTCTCCTCCTGGATTTTTCCAGATTCTTACTATTACAGCCTTAAACCAGAGGCATAGGAGAAATAACATTTTAGCTCTTTTTTTCTTTCCCTGGTACCCAGATTTCTGGCTGGGGTTTTAAGAAGCCAAAATCCTTCTCCCTACAAAAGGGATTAGGTAAGAATTTTCCCTTAGGAAGGGAATCTTCTCTTAGGACCTTAGACAGAGTGGTGTATTGGTTACATCTCTATTTGTAGCTAGAGTGTTCTGTAAAAGCAGGTTGGCCTCACAATAACCTCACTCAGAAATGAAAGAGATTTCCTCATTTTAATTTTTAAAATATAAGAATTTTTACTTGGAACAAAGCATCTGAGAATTAGCAAACCTTGATCCCAAGCAATCCCAGGTGGTGACAAACTCTGCTATAACTTATGGTGTGAGTCTTATCTTGACTATCTTCCCCTTACCCCCAGTTTATTCCTAGATCTTATTCTCAGTTAAGAAAGTATATAGTTGCCAGTTTAAATTAAATATTCTAGATAGGAACTTACACTCTGTTGACTGAAGACAGGAAAAGTATCCTTGAGACATTTTACACGTGTGATCAGGAACAAGATACAAATAATTACCACTTAAAACCTCATGAAAAGATTGTGAAACAGTTTATAATATCAATATCAGCTATACAAATTCATTTCCATCCAAATTCTATGAAGGCATGGGCAACTGTTGCAACTTTATACCAGCAGAATACTGGTACCGTATTTTTCTCTCACCTTAGTTTTCTAACATTAGTGTGTGTGTGTGTGTGTGTGTGTGTGAGAGAGAGAGAGAGAGAGAGAGAGAGAGAGAGAGAGACTCTGTAGGCATTTCTATGGGTGCTTGCTGTTATTTTATCCATTTTTGTTTGGATTACAAATGGGTCAACAAATGCTTTATCTCCTGGAGATAACTGGAAAAAGGACCTTTTTAGTTGGTTCCTCACATTGAAATGCCCTTCTTAGGAATTTTCAACTCCTAGTGACCATATAGATAGATTTTCTCCATGATGATCTATCTCTAATCTTCTTTCAGGTCACTGGAGTCAAAAATGACTTGGTGGTACACAATCAATCAATCAATCAATCCTAGGAATACCTGTGTGCACCTTTAATCCTGTCATACAGACATCAGGCAAAAAGTGTTATGGTTTATTCAAGCTGTTAACAACAATTAGTTTGAGTGTTGTTGTTTTTTACTTTTACTGTTGATTTGAGTTTAGTTTGCTTTTCTTCATTATTTTGTGTATAGTTACTTATTTTTATTAGCTTTTCATTAATATATGAGTTTGCCATCCAGGAAACAAACTGACACTGAAAATGCAGGATATGGATGATATACATAAATACTAATCATTCTGTTCCAATCTGGGAATTTATAATCTGCAGTACTGTCTCAAAACCAGGCAAACCTGTTTCCACTTCTCCTTCCTCTTCACCCATACCTAAGTATGCTGCTGCCTTCTCTGGAGTTCCAGCACTAGAGCAATGTCCTTGGGGGCTGCACGATCAGAATGAAATGCCATGACTCAGGGCATTGTGTTAGGGCAAAGTAGCTTGCTGATAACATGACTTATACTTGACTCATAGAGAGAGCTGTATGTTTCCTCCTACTTTCCTTTTTAGACTAACATTAGCCTCCTTGATTATTTCACTGATTTCATCTGAAACTTTGTACTTCTCTCTTTACAGGAACTTGAGATAGACCCCACTTTGTTTTCTGCTGTTAACCTTCTCATTGCTGTGGGCGCTGTCATCATGGTGCTTGGTTTTCTAGGTTGCTGTGGTGCCATGAAGGAAAGCCAGTGCATGCTCCTCCTGGTAGAGTTTCAATTTTTGTAACATTTTCTTTGCCAATATTTTCAAAGCAATATTCTGAATGGGGAAACCACGCTTGATCTACTTGGTTGGACTATAAGTGATTTTCAGTGCAAGGTTTATCTGGGATTTATGAAAGTTTCCCAAGCAGAAGGAGGCAGGGCGTGTCTTGGACTGCCACTGAAAAGAGATTATGTACTACACTGTATTGGACTCCTTACCATTGTCTGTGTGGGAAGATGTGAGATTAAGGAGATTGTGAGAAAATGTGAATTACAAATGAAAGATAACAATGATACCTGGTTTTTTTCCTAAGCCAAAGTCCATAAATATTGGCTGCAAACTAGGCAGGAACTCTAATATTGGCTATTGTGAACTTTGATACATGAGGAGCACCTACATTTGAAGAAGGCAACAAAGGAACCTGAACCAAATAACTTTCAGAACAATAACAAAATGGCTGCTGCTGTCTGAATGTTTGTCACAACTGCTTCCCTTCAATGCAGCCATTTTTGGAATATTCTGATTCCTAATTTGATTCACTATTTACGTAGGGCTGTCCTTCAGAATAAAGAAAGGATGCTGATTTCTTCATGTGCTTCAGAATGCAGTATCTGCTGCATCATAATACTATTCCAGTAGTTCCTCAAAAATGGCAAGTTCTATGCCATAATGCAGAGATAAAGGACATGTGTAAGGTGCCAGATCATTTTCCTAGTTCTCCTTAAGTTGCTTTTGAGTGAAGTTGAACTGTGGCAGTCTTGACACTCAGTGTTTTTCTCATTTCGGGAAGGTGGGGAACTGAAAGACATGGGTTTGCAACCTGGAATGCTTACAAGATGGCATTGTCTGATCTCAGTTTCCCCAGTTCTTCAGAAAAGATATAGGACAACTGAGAAGGAGCTGCATTTGCATGGGATCTATAAGGGTAGCTCTGTTTACTACCCATGTTCCTTTAAGTGCAGTCACTATCCTCCAAATATCTAAAATAGACCTACAACATACGTAATCTGTGTAATCTGCTAATGTGGGACTTTTGCGGCCCAGAAATATGGGTCAGAACTAGTGACTATATCCTTGATTTCCTCACCACATAGTAATTTATGTAATGCTGTGTTATTTTCACTATAGAATTTATATGCCACCTTTTCATTTATTCCAACATTCCAAGTGATTATAACAGTACAAAATACAAAGTATTAAAAGCTCTGCAATTACAATTAAAACCAATAATTAAAATAATGAATAAGTTTGGCAAAATATGCTTTTACCATTTTCCTAAATAAACACACCTTCGTAGAAGCACATTCCATAGCCTGGGAGCCACAGAGGAGGCTCTTTTCCAAAACCTGCTAGCCAGACTTTGGCACGGTGGGCATCTTCTGAAGTGCTTGTTCTGCTGCCATCTAAGTAACTGGGCAGTTTGTAGACAGTCTCAGAGTTCATCAGGCTCTGTACCTTTGCACAGTCAGAAGCTTGCCCACCCTCCATGTTTCTGCACAATTCATCACCTGGACAGGTCTAATCAGTACTTGATAGAGCAAACTTGAAAGCAAGTTCAGAATCAGTGGCTATATTTATTTTGGCGGGTGTGCTGTGATAATGGCAGGTTTGTAAATACTAAAACAGAGGAGAACTTCACAAATCTCTTTAAGAAGTTTTCAGTAGCTAAACCAGCTATAAAATTAAAATCCTTTCCTCTCCTCTTGTCTCCTCTCTTCAATATTCCTTTCTACTTCAACTCTGGTTTTAATGAATTGTTTTCATACTGTCTTGTAAAATGGAAGTTTGACTTTTGTGAGGCTCCATTATTTTAACCCAACATTGTCCATCATGCTTCCTCAACAATGATCTCTCTATTAGCTCAGACGAAGCTAATATCAAAATCATGGTGTCTTAAAGCTGTCTTAGTTAAACCTATTGAAATCAGTGGATCTTCAGTTTTTCCGAGCTTACTTAAGGGCATTTAATTTCAGGTATTTAACCTAAGTATGACAAAGTCTGGGACTAATCCATTAAGTGTTGCAATATGTATTAAAATACACATGATCTACTTCGACCAATTATGCAGACACACTATAGTTATAATATAGGCAAGCATATACCACTAGAAGGAAGCAATTCATTATTCTAATGAACGGAAAACAATGTGTCATTCCCGTGACCCCTGCCTTGTAACAATTATTGTCTAGAGAAAATGCAGCTGAATTATGTACAGTTATAGTACATACAGAAAGTTAATTTCAGCCCATTACAGTTTTCCTGTCTTACATAAGAAGTTGTATCCTCTTAAAATACCTCTTGTGTACAACTTTCGAACATTAAAGAGGAAAACCTGTCTTGCTTTGCCAGTACTCACATTTGGATCTCAAAAATCTATCAGCCTTTCCTTATAGGTGTCTTTTCAATGGATTGGGGTTTTCCCCCCATTTTGTAACACTGTTTTATAATATTGTAAACCACTTCAGAACATTTACAATGATAAGCAATAGGTAAATACACTCCTCTGGAGCTCAGATGATTAATTTTTCTGTTTCCTCCCACCAGTTTTTCATTGGACTACTGATGATTCTGCTTCTTCAAATCGTAGCCGGCATTTTGGGAGGAATATATAAATCTCAGGTATTCCATTCTTCAATCTTATTAGGTTATATAGTGATTACATTATATATGCTGATTACCTATATGATCTGTATAAAATAATTGTATTGTCTGTTCATTTGCAGATTGAAAGCAGCTTAAACCAGACTCTCCAGAAGGAAATTGCCTTATTGCAAAGTGCTTCAAGCAGTGATAAGGATTTTCTGGAAGGCTTTCACAAATTTGAGATAAAGGCAAATTAAGTTTATTAATATTTACTATTATTTTTATTCCAATTGTTCCAACATTTCAGAATTAAACTATGTTTGAAAACCATTCTCACCTCCAATTCCCTAATTTCAGAAAACCAAATACAGATCAGCCTACAACGGGGTACAAATAATCTGTACCAAAATATCTGAATTCTAGTAACATTACTCATATGTTTAACCCTAACCCTTATATCACACATAGTATATTAAACTGATGTTTACTGTTCCAGGACAATTGTTTTTCTTTAGAATTTCTATCTAAATGTAGCGTCAAGAATTTTTTTCCCCTCACATTGACTCTTCTTTTGAATATCATTTAATTGTAATAATGTTACAAAGAGCCATTCAGGTTGGATGTTTTCATTACAGTATTGCTGATTTTTCTCATTTCTGTATTTTTTTACCTCATACATCTCTCTTCACGGTATTTTTGGTTTTATTTTCAAATAAAAGCATTGAGAAGATCCATATTCTGGCAATGTTGGCGAACACATTTTTACTCTTTGATAAGCTATCTTTCTTCACTGAGCTTCACTAAACTCTTCTTCATTATTGTTTTTCTTGTAGAACAAATGTTGCGGTGTGCTTAATGGACATTCAGATTGGGGGAAAAACCGTGCTCTTTACAATGGCTGTGAATGTGAAAAGGAAGAGTTAGCTACAAGTGTCTGTGAAGGAATTTGGTATAAAAAGGTGAGAAAAATGTTTTCTGTGGATACATCAATGATTACTGGGATTAGTGGTCATTTCTGACCTCCAGAATCATATATCATGGAATCATTCTAGGGAACAATAGTGCAGGATGATGATCAGGTATTGATTGGATGTTTATACTTCTGCTCTATTCTTCACCCAGGAAGCACCAGGTTTGT